GATATCTTGGATCACGAGAAGGAGAAACAGTGGCGCACCGTGGAGTTAGGGTTTGTCGACTCTAGCGAGCTTTTTAAGGAGGTTGGTGCTCGACTCGGGACAGGGACTCACAACTCCCGTTGGGAGGTGCTCTTACAGGATGCGTCGTGGGCCGGAATGCACAAGCACTATCATAACACCGTCCACTCCTCCAACGCTCTCCCTGCGTCTCCCTTTCTCCCCGTCCCTCTCGATCAACTTCAGTTCTACCTTGGAGGGCAGACCCCCGTTCCCCCAGACCATGTCCTATATCAACATGCGTGCTTCCAGTGTCATTACTTGGGACATTGGTCTTGCCGCAATGGACGTGGCTCCCGCTTTACTCCAGCCCTCGAGGAACCGCCGTCTCCATCGCCATCGTCGCCAATCGCTAATCAAACTCGCTCCTGCATCTATACTACTCGCAGACCCCTTTCCTCCCGCATCTCCAACACAGGCCCTGGCCTGTCCTCAAGGGTCTGAGGACCTTAGCGGGGGGGTGATGTTACGCTTCCGCCAAGGGTCTTTCCTTTTTCGGTTCCTCGCGGTCACGTGCATCACGTGCCTCGTTGCGTCTCTTGTAGTCATGGTCATCCTAGGGGTTCGTATGTTAGAAGGACGCCTCGGATCTCAGGTTGTCCAGGTATTTCCAATACCTGTCGAGACTCGTCACCCTTGATCCGAGACACTGCCCACTGTGGACGACTTGTCTGGTTGCTGTTCCGTCCCGTTCTCTTGTTCCTTCTTTGTTGCTTACTTGTTGTACTATAGTTCCGGTGTCTGGCTCCTTGCTGTGCATTGATTGCGCAGCTGGTATAGCCTTCGTTTCCATCTCTACCCCCATCTCTGACACCGGATGACTCGTATTTATTTCAGTGATTAGTTTGTTGACTGCTGCGGATATGCATCGCGACGCATCTGTCACAACTGGTACGGTACTCTCACTTAGGGGTATATAAACTCCCGTACTTTACCATGTATCCTCAGTTTTTCGATAGCTTGCAACTGAGCTAATTACTTTGCTTCAATCCTTGTCTTCTCTCCGCGCGAACAACCTCAGGGACTCACCAGCAGACAAGACCTCTGTCGGATCTTCACAATAACTCAGCCATAGGGGTTACGACAAGTTCGGCCCGTAGACTCCCACCTCGTGCACTTCGTGCCTATTCCATTTGAAGAAGTCACCGCGCCTGGGCATAACACCTTCAATCCTGGGATGCAGGTACCCTGTCAGATCTATGCATCAGTGCTATCCACTTCATGAATCTGCCCAAGTTTCTTGGGGATGTCAAGAGCTTTAAGGATGGAGGAAGGCAGTTTGACAGGCCTGAGATGGCTGTTATCGATACTACCACTGACTCTGCTTGATGAGACTGCAGCACTGCAAGGAGGAGAGGTATAATTCCTGTAGTTCCATGCTGTGTTTGTAAAACACTGCATAATTCTGGTATGAAATATCCCTAACCTGCAAGTTGCTCCACTTGCCCCACAAAGCTATGACAAGGCTATGATCTACAGTAAGTTTCATGCTCACAGAAGCCAGTACTCATCAGGAAAATGTCGGAAAAAAATCACGGCCATTACATGTGACTGTATGTAATTACAATGGATGACGTATGTTAGTGCCCCGCCAATGGGTAAAGTTTTCATTGGCATGGCAGTGTAATCCGGGGGTTGCCGATTGGAATGCCTGACAATGGCCGGCCACTCTGCGCTGGGAACACGTGATTGCAATGCTATTGTTAGCCATTGCCTGCCGACTGAGGTGCCTGACAATGACTCGCTAGGCAGCTGTAGTTGCAATGTTATTGTACTACCATTGCGAACTATTTTCACCATTGTAATGTGTAAGGCTGTATTGCAATACCGTCATTTTCATTGTAAGACGACATAATCTGCATTGCAGTACTATTATTTTCATTGTAAGACGACATAATCTGCATTGCAGTACTATTATTTTCATTGTAACCCTAATCCCTATTGCAATATTGCTAATATTACTGTAATCCATCACCGAGGTCTTGTCTGTACTGCTAATCTTTACCAGCCCACTCATAGAATATCGAGGTTAGTATTATGCGGAGTAGGTCAGTTGCATACAGCGCAGAATGATGGCTGTGCTGGTTGGACAGGCCTATGTACCGATGCCATTGGACAGAGGGTAAATGGGGTAGCAGAAAGCGGTAGTGGGAGGATGGGGATTGTCTCGACTCCACAGGTAGTCTGCATGGTCAACAGTCAGAAAGCAGGGATAACAACAAGTGTATGGGGACATATGACATACTTGGGGATTGGAGGAAGTGACACCAGACTGCATAACTCGGGCTAAGTTGGCAACCGGAGAAGGGGATTCATAGCACAGGTCCGAAGGGCTGTGTACAGGGCAGAATGACGATGAGTGTACTGCTTGGATAGGCCCATGTACCGATGCCAGTGGACAGAGGGAAATGGGGTAACGGAAAGCAACAGTGGGAGGGAATGGGGATAGCGACTCCACAGGTACCCTGCATGGTCAACAGTCAGAGAGCAGTGATAACAAGTGCAGGGGGACATACAACATACTTGGGAATCGGAGGGAGTGACACCAGACTGCGTAACTCGGCCTAGATTGGCAACCGGGGAGAAGGGGATTCATAGCACAGATCTGAGAGGCTGTGTACAGGCGGAATGACGACGCATGTGCTGCTTGGATAGGCCCATGTACCGATGCCATTGGACAGAGGGAAATGGGGTAACGAAAACAGTAGTGGCAGGGATGGGATAGCGATTCCCCAGGTACCCAGCATGGTCAACGGTCAGAGAGCAGGGGGACATACAACATAGTTGGGAATCGGAGGGAGTAACATTGAAGACTCTGTAACTCGGACTAGGTTGGCAACTGGGGATGGTGTCTAGTCCAGGGTGTTGCTGCATGACTGGTGGTGAGATGGTATTAAATTGGGATGGGAAGCTAGGAACAACTGACCTAAGGAGCAGGTAACACAATGTAAAGTGACGAGACAGTAAATGCTTGTCCTGAAATCAAGTGGTAAAATTAGTTGCAGTGCTGGGTGGGCACATCCGTTGGTTGGTTCGGGTTGCCTGTGTCTTTGCTGTCGGGGGTGGCAGCAGACTGGGGTGTGTGGCTGGCCATTGACATGTAACGACAGTGGTAGTTGAACAAAAAAACATGTTTCAAGTTCTGACCTCACACGTATTATAGCTGGAAGCTTATATAATTGCCCCAAAATGGTAATCCCTCTCTGGACATTGAGATTCGAGATATTGAATTGCTCGAGTCTGTCACAAAATTTATTCAGCGACTGTTTCTTCATATTGTACATGTGCCAAACAAGAGAGCATTACATGAAGTATGTAGAGATAATGACAACCGTATTACTGTTTTAATTTAATGCTGCAGGTATTAATTGGAATACTGTTCACGATTGCCATCTTGGAAATGTAGAAGGGAGTAATGTAGATATGAATTCGTACCCTGCACAACTGGGGAGGGAAAAATATCAACAACGTTGTATACAATGCATTTGTACCACCAGAATCGAAACAGACCATAATGGAAACTGGGCTCTATGAACAAAACAAATATGGGGAGCAGGAAATCCTTCACCGAAGAGCTGGTGGGGCAAAAGTGAACACCTCTGTATTCGAAGGCCGGGTGGGTACATGCGCCATCCAAGAATAACCTGGTGAAAAAACATAATACGAGGAAGATTTTTGCGGGCAAGTCTTCGGATGCCAATAGGCACTGTTCAAACTACCTTTCTTTTGCTAGCACTCGCCTTCTGAATTGCTCTGGCACTACTGTCCTCAGGACCACCACACTGAATGCTCTGGTCGAAGACGTAGTTGTACTGGAAACCCTTGCAGAAGAGCTTGCAAAGGTAGGAGTAGTCGGGCTTGTCATCGAATCAAAGTGCTTGAGCGTAGTTGAGGAGAATGCCGAATTCACTCAGGGAGCTGTGGTACAGCAAGCCTGTGGAAGTACTGTGCTAAATGCCCTAGTTGAAGACATGGTCACACTGAAAACCCTCATGAAGGAAGAGGTCTCGAAAGAGCCTGTGTAGGTAGGAGTAGTTGGGTTTATCGTCAGACCGAAGTGCTCGAGCATATTCCAGTCGAAGGTATAGTTGTACTGGAAACCCCTGTGAACGAAGGGTTGTAGAATTGGAACCTGCAGGGGTGGGAGCAGTCAGGGTTGTCGTCAAACCAGTGGAGTGCCCGAACGTAATGGAGGAATATGCCAGATTCGTTTGGGAAGCTGTGACACAGCATGTCTGTGCAAGTACTATGTTGATCAACCACACAAAGGAAAACAGGAGTGGGAAAAAAAGAGCATATATGGTCATGGAAGGGACATGAAGAAGCAAATGTAGTAGTATATGTTGTATGAGGACGGCACTGAAGGGGGAGAGTCTGGAAAAGTGAGAATGGAATAGGCACCCACCCTTTTCACTCCCCAGAGGGAGATCGGGATAGCTTGGAAGAAAAGAGCATCTGTGCTATACGAAATGATCAATCTGGATATGATGGCAATCCCGTTGTACCATGGAACAGACAAATCAAGAGCAGACATTGAACAGAATGGTAGGTTCGACAAGGCTTGCCTCGGGCCAATCGCAAGGCCAGGAAGTGCCCTAAATGACCCAAATTCCACTGCAGAACGACCCACCGGGTGCGCCATCCCAACTGCAAACTTTGACCAATCATGACCGAGTAACCTTACCACTTCCCTCCACCCCCAATCCCAGTCGCACCCAGCGCAAATCAGAAAAGCATGAACATGTCCTTTACCAAATATCACCTTCCCTTCCATGAGTTGCACCATGTTGTTGGTGTACAGCGCGAGTAGCCTTGGCTTGCAGCTAATGGGTCTGCGAATGAAGCCCAACAACGATATAGAGAGTCAGACAATAAAGGAGTGGGAATGGGTGCGGCACCTACATCCTGTCACTGGCATGGTGGTCTTCTTCCTCTTGGACCACCTATCTTCTGCCAGCGCTCACCTTCTGACTCGTTCCAGCACTACCGTCCTTTGGAACACCGTGCTGAACGCTCCAGCCAAAGATGAAGTCGTACTGGAAACCCTTGTGAATGAAGAGGTCGCAGAAGAGCTTGTGGAGGTAGGAGTAGTCAGGTTTGTTGTCGAACCGAAGTGCTTGAGTGTAATCTAAGAATATGTCAAAATCATTTGAGAAGCTGCAGCACAGCAAGTCTGTGGAAGTAGTCACCTTTTCCTCCACCATACGATTCTCATACTCCTGCTTCCTCGTGGCAGGCTTAACGCCTCGTTGGGGAAGTGCGCACGGAGGAAATACATGAGGATGTAAGCAAGGGACCCCAAGTCATCATGGTGGGCCTGTTCAACCATAAAGTGAGTGTTATTATTGAGGTACAATAGGCGGTTCCTGTGAGGTTCTTGTTCCCCATACACCAGATATGCAGATGAGTCTTGGGGTCACAGTACTCCTTTGCAAAACTGAGGTCGGTGGTGCTGACTTGGTTGCTCGTTTCCCGATCCCCATCAGGGGATTGTGCGGCTTTGTGTCATGATGGATGAAATTGAGAGAGAGAATGAGAAGTCTGGAGATGTGAATTAGATGAGAGAAAAATGAAACACATATTTATGAACCAACTGTGGGTGCTTTGCTTTGACGGACTCAAGCTTAATAGCCACTTCTTTGCCAGAGATGTCACCGGCATGACTGGGATTTGATAAAGACGCAGACGACAGTACGAACACCCACAACATGGGGCAGTATTTCTTCGGCGAGGGCAGTTGCGATGAGAGGGAGACGGGGCCATTCGAACTCGATGTTCCAAAACCTGATATATGTTGGTTGAAAGTCGTCACATCAATTCAAAGGAATCAAAGAAAAGGACAACTGTATTTGCAAAGGTGTGGTAGCGCATACAGCACATAAAGTAGGGGTTCATAGCCAAAAAGCTCGAAATTTGCATGCTCACATGGCTGACTATGGCAATACAACTACTTACCCTTTACCTTATGTCGGGTGATACGACATTCCTTAGTAGGCAGCTCCTGGGCGATCACTGCCGGCGGGTTCTGCATAGCTCCAACCACAGCCCCTGGGACCTCAACCATCCTAGGTTGTTGTCCCTGGACAGAAAACTCCCTTCCATGAGCAGACACGGATGGTAGAATGGATGTTTGACTACCTCCAAGTGAAAGATTCGCGACATCGACCAAAAGCACCGAGGAGACAGAGTTTGTCTGAGAGATGACAACCGAAGAATCCTGGGTTGCTTCTGACATGTGACGTGAAGCGGAGGCAGGGTTGGAGTCGAAGCTTGAGTCAGGAGTGGGCATGTGGGAAGGGGGTGTTGGCCGCTGGGGGCCGTTCAATTGTGCTAAGATGTCGGACTCCCATGTAGGAGCTACAGAGGCATCGACGTTGGATGAATCCAGTGCAGTATTAGTAGAGGCACAACTAGAAGTGTTCCACATGCCTTGATTGATGAATTCCATCACTTCCAATGACCACTCTCGTTTTGATGGGTCACTTAATAGTTCAATGAAATACTCGAAGTCATCCTGATACTTGAGTCTGCTTTCTTCCCCAATGGTAGTAAGCTCACGGTCACTTGATAGTAAGTACCGCGCCTGTTATACCAAGGCTGTTAGAATATTCGGGCCAGAAGAACATAGGGACACGAGACTTACAAAGGTTGCAGCGACGGCGATCAGACCAGCCAAAGCGCCAGATATCCCCAGTTTCTGACCTCGTCCCTGTGGACCACCTCTTCGCTTGCCCGTGAGGATGCCCTTGCCAAACACCATGACACGGATGATCTTGCAGAAGTAATTAATGTAGGTATAATTGTGAGTAGCGAAGAAAACTTACATTGACTAGGAGTTGGGATTTGAATAAGTCCCTAGCCACCGGAGCATCTGGTTTGGGGAAAAGGATCGGGGAGAGAGGGGTGTAGTGAGTACCAACACTCCCTGGGTGCATCTTCAGCAACGCTTTCACATCCTCATTTGACCCTCGTAGAATCCTTGAATTCTCAGCTGCGAATAAATCAGCACTAAGGCCCAAGTGCGCGAAGAGTTGCTGTGCATTATCCTTGATGGGCTTGAGGATGTTGGGTCTTTCAGCCCCAACCACATTTGAAAACTAGAAACAATAAACATTAGCATTCAAATTGTGGGATGTAAATGTTCACTTACCACACGACCAAAGTTGCTATAAGTTGTTGCACGGGCCTTGAGGTCACTAGGTAGCATGGAATAGAGTTCCACCTTAAGGCCAATAATTCTTGATTCAGGCGTACTCCAACGAGCGGGGTCGTTCAGATCGTATCCAGGCGGTGGAATCATGAGTGGGAAAACATCCTTCGGGACCCAGAAATGGTAGAAGAAACAATACTTTTTTGCTTGGGCAGCAATGTTATTGTCCAACATCATGTTTGGGTTATTCTCCACAGCTCTCTTGCGGTTCTGCAGGAGAGTGGAGAGTAGACTGTTGTAGTCAGTTCGTAGCTTCTTCATCTCAATGTGAAGTTTTGAGTATGCCAACTGAGTAGCGCCAAGTGCCTGTCACCGTAGTGTAAGAATACTAAATGAACATGAAAAGAAAGTGACATGCAATGCGTAGCTGGGGAGCACTAGCGTCTGGAGGTGGTTCACGCATGATTCAATGCCATTCTTGAAGCTCCTCGAGATCAGAAGTGTCGTCCTCAGAGTCGGAGCGGTCTGAACATGAGTCAGATCCAGAAAATTCCAAATCGACACTACAAAGTGCATGTGTGAAGTCCTCAGGCATGTCTGCAAAACAGAAGATGATTCAAGTGGAAGGTAACAGGGACAAGAGTGTCACTACTTAGCCTGGGTCTGTTTTACACTCGCAGACCTTCTTAAAAGCTTGTGAGCCCACCTCAAGTCCGAGAAGACAGCCGCTTGGTGATGTAAAAAAGCATATCAGCGAGACGATGTCGAATTGTGTTTACTCGGGACACTAACATGTGGTGTGACTTGACATCATTTCATTGACTCTTCCATCGCTGCAATGCCATGCAGTCACTCCCTGGCAACCTTATCAGCAGTAATAGAAATACAACGATGCGATAAGAGGTAATAGCACGGTGAACACGGAAATGTATAGTGCAAACCGACCACGTTCATTCTGACACTAACCCTCCAAGATCGTCTAATTGCTCTGACCCTATGATAGTATAGAATTACATCAGTTTCGATGAAGTAATGCATGACAATGAGGATCACTTACCTGAAGTATCGCTTTGTATTTCAGCTGGCATTTGATCAGAGTCAGAACTTGAAGGCTGTTCAGTTGGCAACCACGCTTGGGGCCAGGTCTGAATCCATTCCCTCATGCGAAGGAACATGTCTCCATCAGTGTGTTCAACAACCAAAAACTCGCCATGGTGGCTCGGATCCGGGTAAAGCAATGCGCCTCGAATGATCAACTTCACGGGAATGAATATTGATGCTGCACGAGATACAGCTTTGACTCGAACAAGTCGAAGATCTTGGTCCAACCTGCACACTCCAGTCCCAGCAGTGAGCAGCTGAACAAGGGCAAACTGAAAAGTGTCTTTGAACACTGCAACCTTACAAGTGAACATGAATATGAGTCGAACGAAAGCAGTCTTGGTCTCCGAAAGCTGAATGAGGGCGCCATCGTATCGTGGCTGACCATGGAAACTTGGATTACATCGGAGGTAGTTCACAGCGACCTCCCAGTCCACCATTGAAGCATACTGGACCTTCAAATATTGATACTCCCGGATCTTTGGAGGAATGTGGATAAGTCTGTATATAAAGGGAAGAGGACATACTGTATGTGTTCCTTGTAATTGTATCCACTTGTCGAGGGGGAACCCATAAGTTGGGAGGCAAGTGTTGAGGAAAGTTTCTAGCTTCCGACGGAATCCATCAAATGCCCAGTCGTTTTGGTTAGTGTTCTCAACATCAGAGAGTGAGCGAGTCTGCTGGGGTGCGCCAAGCTTGGCATTCCCTTCAAGTACTGTGTTGTGGTCCTCGTCATTGTTGGTAGCATCGTTAACACACTCGTTTTCTGCATTGATGCGTGCCTGAATGAGTTTGGTTGCAAGTCAGTGGTGGTCAACATGGAGAATCTGAGTGACAAATCATGAGACAATGCCTAAGTGAGAGGAACTTAAATCATACCTGCCCCGCAGTATCCTTTCCATTTGAGCGATCCTGGTATGCATCTTTGAGCAGGCCATGCATTTTCTCATTGGGCCAGGCACTGTAGTTACAAACAACGCCTTTGCTTCGAATGTCACGGGTAACGTGCTTCCAGAGATGTGCCTTCGGAAAGTTCCAATTATCCTTCAGATCTGTATCATCCAAATGACGAACGAAGGATCGGTACAACTGTTATAGAAAATCATTACATGATAATAGACGGTTGGACAAACAGAATACCTTTAGTTCATCCCTGAAGATGAGAAGTTCATCTTCGATCATACCAAGAGTCTTCTCGGTGTGCACATCAAGTCCAATGAGGGTATCGAGTCGCAGGTAGCTACTGATCATACGAAGTAACTGATACCCAACTCGAGACATCATCGGCGTCAAAATGTTGAGGGAGGCGTAGAAACATTGCTATACCAGAGAGATTGTTAGCCGTCGAACTACATTTAAACATGTCCTAATTGACTTACCCTGGTGAGATCTCGCATTTTATTTCCATCAGAAAACGTGATGTGAATCACTGTATCGAAATGTGCGAGGCCTTGCCAACGGGGAAAGGCAGAAACTCTGTGCGACAGTTAGCCCATTCCACAGACTAAGTAGATTCTTACTGTGCTTCTAAACGTGTCTCGGAATCACGGCCAAGCTCACTGACGACGATCCTGAGTTCCCCATGGATGTGCTTGCCTCCCATGCCACCATGCAGGGAGTGAAGCGGCTCAAAACTGGCAGCCTGTTCAGGCTCTGAATGTTCTACTGACCAAAAAGCGTTCTATCGTACATTCCGTCAGTCATAAACATAGTACATGTGTCAAAGACCTACCTTGACAGGACATAACCCGAGGGACTTCAGTTTCTTCTCACCAACTGTCTTCTTCTCCTCGAATAATGCCAGCACTCTTTTGTGTTGCTCAGTAGTACGCATTTCATATGTCTTCTTCAGATCCCAAAGCTGCTCCAAGGGGACCAGACAAAATGGGCAAGGGCACTTGGACTTCGTGCCTCGTATAAGGGTCATCACACAGCTAGGGAGGCCTGGTAAGTACGATCAGGTTGCAGAGAAGTTAGTACCTACAGTTCTTCATAGTCAGCAGACAGGATAAGGACAAGTGGGAAGAGCCAGTGGAGAACCTTGTCGTAGCATTCATGAAGATAACCGACCTTTGAGAGCTCCGCAACCTTCTCGAGGAGCTGAAAAAATGCTGTATGCCAGATGACACGTTTGAAGTTTGTGTAGCCAGTCTTTCCCTCTTCTTTTGCAAGCTCAGGAACCTGTAAAACCCGTTAGATCTATTCGCTATTGCTCAAAAACAAAGGCATGGTACTCACAATCGGAAGCCAGCCAACGACGCAGCCACCACCATATCGCTCACCATTGCAAACATGAACTGGGAGGTTCGTACAATGTGCTACAACAGGGTAGCCCTTGACAGTACCATGGGACGATAGCCGTGTCTTGTCAGTGTAAATTATAAATGTGAATGGGACCATGTTATCCACATGACTGGGTAACTGTGACTTTATTGGCACAACACAAAAAAGCGGATAGTAAATTTACAAAGCACGGTGGTATGAGATAACATTAATTACGACGTACTTGAATATCCCACCAACGATCGCCTGTCCAAGGTTCCGTGTAGAAGTGCTCATATCTCTCACCATCATGTTTGAAGAGCCATTGGGCATCCCAGACGAAGTGTGGTGCAAGGGAGGAATTTTGCAAGAGGTCGAGGGCCCAGTCCCACAGAGGGTGGATATGGACGGGGAATGTCACGTCATTGCCCTTATAGGGCACGGTAATTTCGAACTTGGAGAACTAACAAATGACTGGGAAGTGAGCCAAACATCAAAAGCACGCCAGTAACAAAGAGTTTACCAGTGTTAACTGCGCCGCTGCTCTATCCAAAGCAGTACGTAGCCCAGCATCGTTGCATAGCGTGACACTTGTGGTTCCTTGACTTATACAGTGAACCAACTTGAGAAGGGAGTCAACTTGATTTGAGCTGAGCCCAGCTTCCACGGCAATCGAGGCAAAGATGTAATCGCCCTCCGAGGCAAAAGGGCGCCAGGGCTCACGGTCTGGGGGCATGCATTCGAGGTTTTGCTGGCCGAACTCTTCAGCGAATTGGAAAAGGGTCAGGCGCTTACTACAGGGATGAAATTCGGTCTTGAAGTCGGGAGGATGGTCATTTGTGGCATCTGGTGCAGTGGAGTTCACCAAGCGACCCATCACATGGGCTGTTATTGACACGTCAGATAGGCAACGAAAGATTAGTTCAAATGCCAGCTGATGACACATATGCTCTGAACCTACCTGAGTCTGACATACCTCTACCACAAGGGTCCGCCATGCCCATCAACACGTCATCTTCATAGGGAACAAAACTAGTCGGTGATCCTGTCCAGTAACATGTAAGTGTCGGCAAGAGCCATACTAGTGGTTTACATACCAGGAATAAATCGTGAAGGGCCTACTGTTACTGACGGCTGTCCGAGTGGTGCTGGTATCGTAGCTATGGTGGAGTCAGGACCCGAAGACCCAGCAACGCGAGGGTGCACTGATGATGAGGATGTCGCAGCGGCTGCTTCCTTAGCAATATTGGCTAGTAGGCAACCATTGTAAGCTAACGGGCAGTTGAGAGGATTTCATAAAAACGATCACCTCACCCCGACGAACATCCCGTATGTATGCCTTATTGTGTTTGACCCGTTCTTCATGGTTCTGGAGCTCCTTCACACAGCTTCCTTCATGCCTTTTGATCCCTTGCGGCAGGTAGAGGTTCCCACAGTACCTGCAAGGTTGCTTAGTAGAAGATTCTTTTGATTGCTGGTAGTTTCGATGGGGTGGCATGGTGGAGAGGACGCAGGTGAAGAGAATGAGGTCTCAGTGTCACAACCAGTAATATTATGTAATTGATGGTTGAATCTAATCGATAGCAATCATGTGATATGCACTTGCAATGATTTGTTGGGCTTAAGGTGCACATTCTAATACCTAATGGAGTATTGTTTTGGCATTAACATAATAAGTCAGTCTAAGACATCATTACATTACCATTGGTATACCATTGAATTAGGCATCTCAGTCACATGACAAGCCGCCGGGATTGTTATGGTGCTTAACTTTTTTGCGACAAATAACACTTTACTATTTTTGACTTTTTGTGACTAATGTGACTTTTTGGGAAGGAATCTACTATCATTACCCATGTCCTGCAGGCATGGCTGCACTTTTCTTGCTGATTTTGGTCTTGTTCAAACAACCTAATTCATAGCTTTCAGTAGTTACCACATACATTCAAATTGATGGAGGTTCCAAAGAGATATTGTGATTTTTCTCTCAGACAGTGTGCATCACACCAATGGCTCAATATCTCTGAATTTTCAGACATTTTCTAGTCTTCTTGGCTTAGATATATCATCACTTAGTTGTCTCAATAGATTCTGTTCTCTTTTCATTCTTCAAAATGCTGTATATGGTCAAAAAAAAGTACAGATAGTAGGTTCCTTCCCAAAAAGTCACAAATAGTCACAATAGTCACAAAAAAGTCAAAAAAAGTCACAAAAAAGGTCAAAAATAGTAAAGTGTTAATTTCCTGATGCTGGTCTGGTTTTCCTCAGTGAAAGACTCTCAGTGATGACTGTCCATCTGGAATTCTCCATGAAGTAGTGCGGCTAACTGTCATCTGATCGGAATCCTATCCAAGACCACACCTGCGACTAGAATTCTCTACACGTACGTCTGCTGTGATAAGACGATATCAGCTCCGTGACGAAAGGTAGCCTACTAGAGTAGAGTAGACCAATTCTCACACGGGTTGGTCTACACTCGCCCCTCATGGAACAGGAACCCAATGCAATTTGTGACCGCATGAGTCTGGGATTGTAAGCGTGCGGATTTTCATATTCTAGGTTTCCGCGTTGTGGTCACACGGAAAACTCAAGTACTCACCACCCACATCACATGGTGTAGAAGTGACAGGATGCTACCAAGTCAGGACAAGCAATTCCAAAGAAAGTCAGGCTCTTTGGTAACCCAGATGCCATTGGACGATAGGATATGGCGAGGACATAATGGAGTATCTTCCGATTAGGTAGTTAGCGGGACCCGGGAGAAATGGTGCAGAACTTTCGTCCCATCTACATGATGGTGTATGAGCTAAAACCGGAGTGCTATCGTCCGAAAGATATCAGAGGGGTACAGCGTGGTGCCACGGGTAAACTGCCAGATGCGACTGAGTGGGTTAGTCGGATCCGGAGAGTCTGCAGAGACGGTCCACATGCGAAGTTGCAAGGACGAACTTCCAGGACTCTGCACACGGTGATGTCGAGGGAAATGGTGTTCACGGCGATGGCGCTCACAGTGTGGTGAAGGAGATTCCAACTCAGGCTAGAATGGACACTCGATTTGGACGCATCATAATACTTATTGAAGTTGGCCTCGCTGATGGTGATAATGTATTTGAAACATGGAAGTCGTCAAGAACTTCATCAAAGGAAGATCAAACCAAGGCTGTGATGTTCTTAGGTTCCCAGGATTTGATCATGGACTTATTGTTACCGGTCGTTAAAGTTCAATGTTCACAATGGAGGAGCACGGCACAACCGGTCATTTCGCTTCAGCTTCCGAGTTGGACACAAATGTTTCAGTTAGTGGAAGTCATTGTTATCTCTTCCCACTGATCTACTGAAATTCCAAGCGGATCACAGGAGCAGCAGCACTAGTGGTGCTGCTAGCACCACAGAAACGCAGAGCCTAAATGAGACACAGCGTTGGCCGCATCATCGGATACTAAATCAAGAACATGCTTCGGTAGCACGTACTGTCCCATCATACAAATGAAGCCCCCCTCGTTAGAAAACAGGGTTGGGTTTCTCCACCGTCATATCGATACGATCTCTCCACGCTCGATCGCTTCTGGCAGTCCACACCCCTCGGCGGGTTGATCGACGAGTTTCCCGTACTATACAAGTTACGCAATCGACATGGGCGTCCCGGGCGCATTCGGTGAAGATATTCATAGCAAAACACGTTTTTTTCTGCTCATCTGTTCTCAATAGGCTCTATTCTCATGGGGGGGTTGGTCTCTGCCATGTATGTATTGGTTTCCATGATTTTGTTACGTCTCTTCTCTGATTTCCTTGTTCCTTATCAAGGTTATATGGCACGACGACTTTCCAGGGGCGTTTTCAAGGGAACGTTTAGGCTAGGGTTCCACTTACTGGTTTATACAGACCTATATATATTTCATGCACTACTCTGGGGATGCTTCAACCGTGAAGTTCCTTGTTGCTGCCATATGGTGTGTTATCCTGCTTTGGGGCACCTGTCACATTTGCTCATCCGAAAACAGGATTCTTGATACCCTACATCTCTCATGCAGTGAGTACTTGGTATTTACAGGTGAATGGATGGCTAATAGTCGATTAGTGTGTCACGCATTGTATTACTACCTGGTGAAACTGCTATGTCTCCTCGTTGCGATAGCCATGAGTCATGCTCAATCGCTGCAGATAACCAATTATGGCGTTTTGACGAGTTTGGAGTATATGGTCTGGTTCGTATGCCTTTGCATCTCACAACTGCTCCTCACTGATGAGATGATACAGGACATTCCCAGTATGTGAGCCGAATCTTCAACGAGAGACTGGCTTACGATGTTTTCTCCGCCCAGACGTCACTTCTAATCAATGTGCGTTTCTTTCTCTCAAGACTGTTTATGACAAGATTTAGTTGTGTTCCAGGTACTCGTGATTTCTATAGTTCAGTGGTAGGTAACTATCTATTACGGCTTCACGCTCATATATCAGATGTCACTAGCTTCTTTGCCCACACAATATCTTGCCGTACGTCATGCTTGAGCTACTTTTCGAGATGTTTGGTGATCGGCATCCAGTTTGTCGTCCTCAAAAGAAGTGGTTGGTGGCTGGCCCAATCGTAAGTATATTTGCTGATGCTCATGGAAAAGTTATTATTCAGTGATGTGGTCACGATAGATACTGTTAGTTCTGGTTCACTTGGGTGAGTTTTTTTCTCATTTTACGAGGCGTTGATAACGATATTTCAACAGGACCTGCCTTGGGTTTGTGCTGTTTTTCCACCACAGAAGACTTATTCTCATCAAAAAGCAGAGGCAGTCATTATGATGTATTCCAACCTGCCCATCTATTTTCACGGAAATACTGATTTCTGTGCACAGGTTCGTCAATCGTGATGTTGACATCCTTACGCAGATTAGGGTACTTCCGTTCAGAGAGACGTTGGTGCACCAGCTTACTTGTCGTCCCTAGTTTTCTGCCGTGTTACCCGCTTTGGCCATCGTCGCACTCGTTGAGGCACTGATCACGATATCACTTTGCGTACTTTTCCACGACAGTCGCTCTCGCTCTGCATTCCCAAGGTAACACCATTCCACATCCGTGGTTATCTCTAACTAACCCTACCCTAGAACGAAGCGTCTCTTCCAAACACTTATCATATATGCTATTAACAGGTGTTTGTTGACATCGTAAGTTTCCCCTCAGTTTCATTTATGGTCCTGACTCGATCCAAAATATTGGTGGTAGACTGGTCACCATTGCAGAGTTCACTGTGGTACGCACGACCTATTTCAAGGTGATTGTTGCTCTCACACTTTCTTCAGAATGTCAATCAGCAGGATGATTGGACAATGGGATTGGACTTCATGATTGGAAAATGTCAGTCTTCTTTGCGTTACGTGCGATGGACATAACCCACCACTCACCACCGAATAGTATATGCCAACTCGCTTCTAGCATCACTGAACACTCGGCAATACCTCCGATCCCAGCACTCAGGAACCGAGTCAGCTGAACACATCAATACTATCCACCTCGGGAACCTGCCGCAGCATTCGGGTGACGTGCCCTTATCGGTATCAGCACTTGGTAAGGCGACAGCATTGCGAAGCGAAGGAGAACCGAAATTCTAGTTCCGCGTTCCGTCCGCGCTTCGGTTCTTTTCGCTATGACATGAACTAATTTAATACTACTACAAGTTATCCTACGCCTTGTTTTGCGAAGCCGCAGTAGAGCTGCGATAGAATTTTAATTCACGGTTAAGTCTCACCGATGGTCTCGTTTTTGTGGAACTGGTATCGCTCCGTGAGAGTAGACATGATGGTTAGGAATACGCATGCATGGCCACCAAGTGCCTTTCGAGCTGTCCTGGATCGGCTTTCGGGGATGGATGTCTGGTCGTGTTATGACATGCTATCAGGCAGACCAAAGGCACAACAGAAAGCGTTCATTCCCTCTCGGCGTATCCGCTAGCACAGCGTTCGTGGGGTGGCGCATAGCTGCACTACTTCATAGGGAATCCGATCCAGCCAACCGTCACAGAAGCTGGAGGCGGTGAGGGCAGCCGGTAGAACGAATGTGATGGCCCGATCCATATGTGAATATGGCGAAAGGAGTTAGTAGAGAATGATTTTTGCCTACGTCACACTGTCCTATCCACTGATTAACTACCGCCAGCTCTCCTGTGTGGATGCCCTACTGGGTTTCTCAACGGTCTTCCATATTCCTTGCGCACTTCGGCCATACCGCTAGATTCACTGTTCGAGGGGGAGGGGGGTTAGCACATCAACCCGCACTACCCGATTCCTAATCTAAAGCCAATCCGGCGCAGGTGGACTTGTTCTTCAGCACAGGGTCCACTATGTCATTGGCAACTATATCTTCCTCGGGACGATACATAGTTTGTTCATTTGAAAATGTTGTGGAGAGGCATTTTGGGCATTAGTCAGCGGTCGAGATCGACTGGGATGCCATCCTCGTTTTGCCAACCCTTAACATTCAACTCCGGGTGTTTGTCCAAGTCAAGGGGGT